AAGTTGATTTCTCATGAAGAGTTTTTTTTTTTTTTTAAATGTGAAATCAAGTTAGATTATCCTTGCCTTCACTGATTTTAACTTGTGAAGTAGAGGTTCTTACCTACCCAGCCGCATTTCTTAGTGAGGTTGCAAGGGCTCTCCTAAATATTAAGGAGATCTCAGAAACAAATCTATGGTGGGAGCCAGTGGGATAAGTTAGAAGAGCACAGGAAGCTATGCTGTCTTCTCCCAGCATTGATACCTTCAGTTTGACTTCTCCTGTAAATGTGTTGGCAGTTGGCTTTATTTACTAAATTCAAGCTCATTTGGTTCTTATAGGGCAGTTCTCGTAAGTAAAAAATTATCATATAAAAGGTAATACATTCATTCTTACTATCTTTGCACAGTTCTGTTTTTCTGTTCATTTCTTCCATATCTGCAAATTTTAATTTATGTGTAAATGCTATCAAGGTCCATAGTAAACAGAAAGTTTTTTTTTTTTTTTAATTATCCTTTGGCTTTATTCAGCACTTACAGTGTACATAATAGTAGTTTAAAAGGGAAGATTCTAAACTCTTCATGTTCCCCATGCTTCTGAGGCAGTAATTATAGCACTTGGTTTGAAATTTATTTGTTTCAATTTGAGTATGGCTGTACATATGCACACCATTTCATCTAAAGCATACGGTTTATTCTTAACTGCCTTTGGGGTACCTAATTGTATACTTGGTATATGTACACTCTGATGAGAGTACTAAAAAGAAAGACAGGAAGCCTTCCCTTAGGTACCTTAACCATCAAAATATTAAACTGCTTAACCATCAAAATATGATGTGATGAATACAATAATAAAAGTTGTGATACTATAACATTAGGTGAGGAAAAGAAACTTGAAAAGGAGTTATTCATTTAGTTTTATTAATCTTTCTCATATTAAAAACTAAATCACTATTAACTTTGAACACCATAGAATACAGCTTTCTACCCTCATTGATAAGGTATTTTTAAACCTTACTCTTGGATATTGAAATATAATAGTACCCTCTTTTTGCTAAAGAGTGCCATATTGATATCTTTATTATAAATCTTCTGTTTAAAGCAATGGTTCTCAAACATTAGTTTATCAGAATCACAAGGAGGGTTCCTATCAGTAGCCCCATCCCAAGAGTACCCAACTCGGTAGGTCTAGAGTAGATCCAGGTATCTCCATTTCTAGTGAGTTCCTAGGTGATGCTGATCCTCTGATCTAGGAGCTTCACTTTGAAAACTATGGATTGATCAAAATTCAAAAAATTGGCTAGGCCTGGTGGTGTGCATCTGTAATCCTGGAGACTTGGGAGGCTGAGGCAGGAGGATCACAAGTCTGTGGGACCCTCAGCAATTTAGACCCTGTCTCAAAATTTAAAAGCGGAGTTAGGGGGCTTGGATGTAGCTCAGTGGTAAAGTGCCCCTGGAGTCAGTCCCCATAACCCAAACTAATAAATGTTTTTGGATGGCTTCCCAGTGTCATCCAGTGTTTGTTTCAGATCTGATCACTACCATTTCTAATTACAGCCAGTATACATTTGAGCTCTTATGTGCCAAGCACTGTATTCACATCTTCACAGAAGTGAAGATATGGAACCTCCTGAAGAATTTAGCCAAAGGAACCACACATATCTATAATCCCAGCAACTCAGAAGGATGAGGCAGGAGGATTGCAAGTTTAGGACCAGCCTTGGCAATTTAGCAAGGCCCTTACGCAACATAACAAGATCCTGTCTCAAAATAATAATAGAAAGGGATATGGTTCAGGGTTCAGTGGTATAGTGCCCTGAGTTAAATCTCCAACACACACACACAAAAAGGTGTGTGTGGGGGCGGAGATCAGCCTAACAGGATCAACGGTGGCAGTATTATAGTGGTAAAAATAATCATTATTATGTATTGAATGCTCAGTGTGCTAGGAACTATTTCAAGTACTACTAAAACTCATTTAATCCTCATAAGAGTTTCATGAATTAGTGCATATAATCCTTATTTTAGATGAAAAAAATTGTAAATGTTAAATAATTTCTAAAAATTCACACAGTGAGTATATGGAGGAGCCAGAATTTGATTTTCTACCTTCCTGCATTACAAAAAAAAAAAAAAAAAAATGTGAATATTGGTGGACTGACTGCAGGAGGAATGGAATAATTGACTCTGCTTAGAAAAGGTATCAGAGATGGCACTGGAGAATCTTAAGGAATAAGTGGAATACAGTTGCACTTCCAAATGAGGGAGCATTTTCTTCAAAGCCAAAGAAACCTGAGAGAGCTTATATTCCTCAGATTGTAGGTAGTTATATAAGACCATAATGCAGTAGGCCAGATGGAGTGTAAGAACTAAAAAGAGACCATATAAGGCATAGGTCAAGGTCATGAAGAATTTTGTATACCAAGCTTGAAATTTTTATATTAGAATTAGGGATATTTTTCCTCCCCCCCCCCCCCTTTTATTTTTCCTTCTATAACTGTCATCTCTGTAAGCCAGTGGTTCTCAAATATGGTCAGGTAGCAGAATCAGCATCATCTAGAGCTTGTTAGAAATGCATATTGGCTGGGGATATAGCTTAGTTGGTAGAGTGCTTGCCTCGAATGCATAGGCCCTGGGTTCAATCCCCAGCACCACAAAAAAAAGAAAGAAAGAAAGAAAGAAATGCATATTGCTTGGTCTACCCTATTCCTGCTGAATCAGAAACTGGTGGGTGGGCGGAGCCCACTAGTCTGTTTTTACCAAACCTCCAGATGACTGTATGCTAGCTTGAGACCACTGCATTAGGTTACTGAGTAAAGTAACAGCAATCAGAGTAGTCACAGGTCATTATAGTATTAATAATCATGTCTGTGACTGATTTAATTCTATTAAGAGTACAGCACTCAACAGACTAGAACTACTAACCCATAAAGTCCCGAGTTTTCAATTCTGTAAATATTTCCACAGAATTACACATGTACATTAAAAAAAAAAGTGGCAGTAATATTCTAGAGCTTATAAATATTATATTAATATTATAATCATAATTACATTTTTAGTAGCAGAATATATGATCACCTATCATATACTTAAATATATACAGCATTTAAGTTTTTGAGGTTTTCCACATCTAGTACAATGGGACAGAATGGGTTAGTACCTTTCAAGGGATATGTACCTATAATATTATGCATAAATTGGGATATGCATCTATATACCTACAACATTATTCATATCTTGTAAGCCAGTTTCTAATGTGAAAGAAATCAAGGACAAGAGTTTTTAGATTAACATTCAAAGAATAGCATGGTAACTATTCCTTTGCTACAGGATTTTAATCATTTAAAAAGAAGCAATAAACCATTTTTAAGAGTTTTTTGAGTTGTTTAAAACTGATATTAAGCTTAACATATCGAAGTGTTTAAATAAAATATGTCAAAGGAATAGAATTAATCGAATCTTTCCTGGTAGAAATAAAAATATGGAAAGAATAATTAGAATTCTCAAGCAAATGCTCATCTAAATCCCTGTCACCATCTTTTTTTTGCCCAAGTATGGTTGGTTCTGGCACTGAATGTTACACTATATCCTCATAGTGTATATACTTCTGTAATTTATAGTTGCATATAGTCTTATTTTACTTTGCACAGCCCTCTACAAGCATTTAAAGCCCACTATGTATAAAGTATTTGTTAACGATCTGTATATCCTTTCCAGTTATTAGGTATACAAAACCCTTTTCATCTTAGAAATGGCAACAGCAATGAGTGAAACATTATGCTGTAATCAATGTGGTTAATGCTCAAATAAACAAAACATAGTGTTTTCCGTGTATTAATTCAATTTCTAAATCCCAGAGTTTCAGGGATTTAGAAGTGGAAAGTTCATTAAAGTTTTGACACCAACACCTTCATTTTATGAATGGGGATGCTGAGGTCCAAGGAAGTTAAGTAGATGATTCGCTAATGGTCACAGGGGTGGGTAAGTGAGTAGCAAAACCAGAATTATAACCAGATCTTCTTTGATCACAATCTAAAAGATACAACTACTTTGAACAATATATTTCTGAGGCTTAATCTGATATAACCATTTAAAGTAAAATAGTATTCTGGTATTTTAGTACCAAATTCTTCTGACTTTGTATATTTAGAAATGTTTTGTATAAAAATTATTTTAAAGACCTTTATATTTACATAATAAAGTTATCAGATGTTCTTTTACAAGAGTGATTTTTTTAAAACCTACTACTGTTTTTCAAAATTGATAAAAATACCAATAAGAAAATATAGAGTCTTCCTACTTTTATTACTTAGTACATGGGAGAATATAAACCACCAAAGAGGACAAATATTCAGCCTTCTAAGTCATTAGCAAACAAGTGCTGAAATAGCATTTGAATTTGGGATGTGTACGTCCTGGCTAGACTGCTTTCAGTTGTTTCCAGGAAAAACTGGTCTAACCCACATGCCTTATTAGGTGATTTTTGCCAGCAGGTAACCTATAATCAAAGCATGTAGGTCTACCAGAATGTTGAGTTCCTTGTTAACCAGCTGTGCCCCCAAAGCCCTCTGTATTGTTTTTAGAGGCCATCTCTAAATCATCATCTGAGTTTTAACACAACAAGTAATCACTGGGATTTCCACACGAGAGGGATGAGACTGATTGTAGAGTGAAGTGTAGGAGATAAAAGGGTACTGCTCATTCAGACTATCCTTTGAGACCACTGAAATGAAATCTTCTGAATAAAATTGAGAGTTACTTTTAAGGCAGCATATGCATATTGTAGGCAAATTATAAATGTTGGAACTACAAAGGAATTTGAGAAGTCATCCATTTACTGAGATCCTCTCTTTAATAGAACTCTTGAGTTTTGAAATTGGGAGAATAGACTTATTAATAAGCTATTTTAAGCAATCATATTTGGTTTTAAATAAAACATAAATGTCTTTTACATTATTAAGAGTTGGAAGGGAGATTAAATTTTTTAGAATAATTTAATGAAATATTCTAATTTTTTCCAGTGCATCTGGGGGAGGTGTTGTAGCCATTGACAACAAAATAGAACAAGCAATGGTAAGTAAAAGTTTATAGTCCTCTAATTTCATAGATTGTGGGTCCTGTGAAACACTTTGTACTTATCAATTCTAGATAACAAAGATCTAATTTCTTAAAAGTTGACTAGATTATATTTTTTGGTAATGAGATTTAATTGAAAATGTTAGAACATTGAGAATTTTTAGTCTAAAGATACAAGCTGAGTAAATATTTCTCCCATTTGGACATGTTACATTTCATGCATCACGGTTGAGAAAGGGCCATTAGAAGGGACCAGTGAAATCACGCAGCTAAGCATGGTGATTTCATCAAAGGCCATGTCTCCATGAGCTTCAATGAGTGGACTGGTTTCAGGTTCTGGTTTCTGCTATTGCCATCATTTTTTTGGAGGGGGAGGGTGTTCCCTTAAAATACATTGATTCAAGAATATTTAAAGTAGCCAGGCATGGTGGCCCATGCCTGTAATCCTAGCAACTTGGTAGGTTGAGGTAGGAGGATCACAAGTTCAAGGCCAGTCTAAGCAACTTAATGAGATTGTCTCAGAAAATACAAAGGGATAGGATATATTTCAGTGATAAAGCACCCCCTGACTTCAATCCCAGCACCACAAGGAAAAAAACAAAAAAAGATCGTTATAAGTATAGATGAGCTATAAATAAGGACTCTTGATCTCAGACTGTTAGGAAAAATAAATTCCAAGATTTTAAAGTTGGAAATTACATTATCCATATCTTGTAAGCCTGTTTCTTCTGTAAAAGAAATCAAAGACAAGTGTTTGTTAGATTAAAAAATAGCATGGTAACTATTCCTTTGCTACAGGATTTTAATCATAAAAGAAGCAATAAACAATTTTTTTGAGTTTTTTCAGTTGTTTAAAACTGATATTAAAGCTTAACATTTTGAAGTAGTTAAATATGTCAAAGAATAGAGTTAACTCAATCTTGCCTGGTAGAAATAAAAATATAGAAAGTATAATCAGAATTCTCAAGTAAATGCTAATCTAAATCCCTGTCACTTTATCTCTCTCTGAAGTAGTTCTGCGGCTGATTTAATATCATTTTTTCATTGGAGCATTACTCCAACATGTAAGCATGTGGGTTTTTTTAAACAATTTTTTTAAATTCTAAGCTTAAATTGATTTGGGGGAGTGAATATTATTGGAAATCATCCAAAATTATGAAAAGAAGACTTTGATGGTGCATACATGTAATTGCAGCTACTTAGGCTGAGGCAGCAGGAGGATTGTAAATTTAAGGCTAGCCTGGGCAACATATCAAGAACTTGTCTCAAAAAGAAAAAAAACTGGGGACTTGCTGCTCTAGTTGAGAACTAGATTTTACTCAACCCATCACCCATAGGCCTAGTCATGATATAGCAGGAACATTAAAAGCAAGAGCAGGAAAACATATAAAAACACTGTGTTTATAAAAAACACTTTGTGTTTACAGGGCACCAAGTAGTCTAGAACCAAAAAGCAATGCCTTTTCCTTTCTATTTTTGATATTCCTAATTTTGTTTTTCACAGGATCTGGTGAAAAGCCATTTGATGTATGCAGTAAGAGAAGAAGTGGAAGTTCTAAAGGAACAAATAAAAGAATTAGTTGAAAGAAACTCTTTACTTGAACGAGAAAATGCACTGTTAAAATCTCTTTCAAACAATGATCAGTTATCCCAGCTCCCAGCCCAACAGGCCAATCCTGGTAGCAGTTCTCAGCAGCAAGCAGTGCTAGCACAGCCTCCACCGCCTGCGCAGCCTCCACAGCAGCCGAATGTCTCCTCAGCATAAGCTTTCTTAAGCCTCACTAAGCAAAACACTGACAGCAATCCATCTGTGTGCCACTGCTGTTCTTCCCACTTTATATGAAAGCAAGTAGCCATGCTTTGGTTGTGTGTTTGGCCTTTTCAGTATTAGACAATCATTCTACAAGAGCTTTTCCTCTCTAAGATGTCATGCAGCGCTTTCGATGTCCAGTTCTATGTCATCAGTACACACGGAGAATAATAGATGGGGTTTTCTAAAGCAAGCAGAAGTCTGCATTTCACCTGGTGCGCATGAGTAGGGTCTTTAAGAGTTTTGGTGGCTCTCCATGTTTCCTGTTACCATGGATTTACCTTGAGCCTTCTTACCACATTATAAGTAACAGTTCATCTAAAGAGCCACTTTTCTTTCAACATCAGTAACATTTGCCTACATAAGTTTTCATTTATTTGTGTTTTATTTATTACAGGGCTGCTATTTTCATAATGTACATGAACAATGTCACAGAACTTTTTTAATTTTTTTGAATAATTATAAATATCAGTAAAGGAATTGAAAGACAGGATTGCATTTAATAGATAAAACGTTTAGGCAATAATTGAACAAAAGAATCCTGGCATATTTCTAACACTAATGGCAATTTAGCTTTGGTATTTATTTTCAGTAGTAAAGACCCAGCTTGAATGTAAATTTTGTATAGTGTAAGTATGAAGAACGTAGTGCAGCTGTACAGGTAGTCACCAGTTATTGTGATATAATAAATAATTGGGCTATTTTGATGAAGAAAACTTTGTTCATTTGTTTCTACTTTCTAATAGAGAAATTGCCACGATTCCTCTGCTTTCTGACATTTCGTATGACTTTTCTTTTGGTTGGGAATAAAAAGCTGTGAAATTGTTCAACCTACTTTGTAACCAAAGAAGCAAAGCTGTGTAATGGAGTTTTGTTTTTTGTTTTTTGGGGTTTTTTTTGTTTTGTTTTTTTTTTTTGGTTTTTTTTTTTTTTTTTTTTTTATATAATGCACATTCTTTATGTATTTTTATTTAGTGTTTTCTCGGTCACAATTTTCTTTGCTGTCTAGCATGATCTGCATGACCTATAATCTTTGAACCACTTTCGTACCTCATGTTTTTATCCAGCACTCTTATTGTAATATGTACTAGTCTGTGAACAATGTCAAATAAAAAAAGAACGAACGGGTGGTTTGGTGGAGCTGAGCTAGTGTGCAAAACGCTAGTTGTACAAAAACAAAAATGAAGTGAGCCATCTTTTGTTCATTTAAAATGGTGTTTTGAATTTCGTATGCAGAAAACGTTTTGTTACATTGCAGATTTTAATGTATTTAATAAATGCAACATGCAGATTAAGTGCAGTGTATACTGAGTATTTAAATTAAAATGTACATTTCATAAATACAGTTTCAAGAGAAAGCATCATTTTGTGTATACTAACACATTAAGTGTATGTCAGAAATTGATGTATAAATATATATTTTAACACATTTTCTGAAATTAAACTGCAGTTTTGTTGAAATATGTGGCTCTATATGTGTTCAAAATTTGACTAGATTTGTATTTTCACAGTTCAGAGTATTCCTTAAATGTGAAAACCTGTGGTGTTAATGATTTAATGATAGTTCTTAAATTTTCAAAGTAAATAATTTGAAGATTGCTAGAATGGTGAGCAATATTTGTACTCAATAATCATATTACATTAAGTAGGAAATCCTTGTCTACCAAAACTTTTACTTGAATTCAGAAAGGTGCCTGTAGAAATTAACGTGCTCTATCTATAGCCAGTGAACTAATCAGGAATTAATGAGAAATGGTAGTTACCTCTCCATGTTAAAGAGGATAAGTGTTCTTTATTTGAAATAAAAGCTTAATCAGATTATCCACAAACAAAAGGCATAAAATTGAGATGTACATGGGATTACCAAATATTTTATATTCTAGTTGTGCTGCAGGATGTATTTTCAGCGAACACATTTTTAATGTTAGTTCCTTCAAATATTTCTAGTTATTATCTATATAGGCTTGATAGTCACCCTAAGAACGTGAAGTAGAGCCACAGTGGGTGAGATAGAATGCGAAGCTTTGCTGTGGAAGTGTTAACCAAAAGATGTGCTGCGTGCACCCTTCAGTGCTAACAGTGAGTGCTTCACTCAGTCAAAGAAAAATATGCAAGAAAAGCTTGGAGAGCTGGGAATGTTGTCAGTGGGAGAGCACCTGCCTGGCACGTTCAGGGCCCTGCAGTTGTTGATCCCCAGCACTGGGAAGAAAAAAAAAAGTTGCAATTTTCGTGAAAGTAAGAGATAAATTTTTGGTTCTGGGGACAGAAATATTTTATAAAGGATAGTAGCTGTGATCAAGAAAATTAATATGTTAAAGTTTAAAATGGTAACAGCAGTCACTACTAATGTTAAAAAGGAGAGGAAACCATTCACAGGAGAAATAAAGTGGTTTCTGAAGTTTCGACCTCTAGTAACCTAAGAAATACAAGTTAATATTTTTAACCAGTTGTTGTGTCTTTTAAATAACAGGGCTTAATGTAGTAAGTCAGGCTTTTCTGTGTACTTGAGAAAGAAATTTGGCAATATGTATCAAGAGCCTTAAATACTAATAGTCTTTTCAGTTCAGTGATGTGAGAACTCATGTTGCAATGTCAGAAATACAAAATTATTGTGCCTGCCCTCTGCTTACTTTCTCCTTCCATCAGGACTCAAAATTCTCCCTTTAGCCCGGCACCTCCCACCCCCACTAAAAAAAAAAAGCTGCAAAGAGAAGTCCCTACATCCACACCTCCCGTGAGGCACACTCCGAACTCTAAAGTTGGGGATGAAGTGGAAAAGCTATTAGACTTGTATTTGGAAGTGCTGAGCATTCCCCCCAATGGGTTAGTTTGTTTAGGATCTTGAGTAACTTTCAGTTTTACCTTGAAGCTTTGAGTCTCTTGCTCCAAATAGAATATTAACTGGTTGAAATTCCAATTTGGGGGCAGTCTTATAGGTATGTCGTGTATCTCTAATTTCTCAATGCAGTGTCTACAGACTTGGGTGCTACATAAGTGTTCTGTTGGTTTATTTAGCCAACCAGGAATTCATAAAGTAGAAATTTTTCTAATACAGTTATATGTGTATAATTCAAATCTGATCTTCCCCAAAGAAAATTCATCTTATGTAATTCCAGTGTGATGTTGGAACTTGCAACATCTCAAAAAGACAACACGCCAAAAAAAAAAAAAAAAGTAGGGAGCTGAGATTAAATATTTAGTTATTTTAACTCATAATTAAGTTATAAATGAAGCTATTTAGCCCAGTGGTTGATATGATTGAGTTCTCTTCAATAATACTGTTAAAAAGACAAAGCTTAGTCCTCAAGATTTACAGTTTAAGGTTACAGACAACAGATACAAAGCAACAGTTGGGGGGAAAAACCTTACTTGGTACTTGTACAAAAGATGGCTTTGTCAGAGTAGGTTTCCTAAGAAGTGATATCTGAGTTTTAGGTTACAAGAGCCAAGTGGAAAGGCATTCCAAGCACAAGAAAACAGTGCTCAGGGGTTTAAAGCAGAGAGCATGAATAAGAGTCTTAAGTGAGCCCCAGAATTTCCTGGGAGACAGAGTGGCAGTGATGACCCCACTAGCCCTGGTGGTCTTGGCACCTATTCGAAAGCAAGAATAATTTATTGAATGGTTTTAAGCAGTATGATATGCTCAGATAGAGTGGCAGATGGGAAGTCGATTGCGGGCTGAAACTGGAAGCTAGGAAATAATTTTGGAGGGACAACAGGAATCCAGAGAAGAAATGATGAAAAGGCAGAGTTGCACAGGCAGTTCCTGTGAAGCTGGTGGAGGAAGTTTGTGTCGGGCCTTTCTGTGCCATTTTTCAATGGATGTTCCATTCCCAACATCAGTTGTCTTGTTTCCTTGCCCTTTCAAGGAAAATCAAAGAGCCCCAACTCATACTTGAAAGTTTGAGTCCGTCTTTTATGTCCAACAGTCATATATTTCATATATATCTATGAAATCAAAGTCTTTGTTTCCTGTTAAAAGGAATTTCAAGAATCTAATAAAAGAGTGGGGGACATGGAGGAACCTTGATGATCAATTTCTGCCTCTGTCAATTCAGCCCTAAAGGTTAATAAAATTTAATCCTTTTATGGTGACTAGGATTAGCATAATTCCAAAGCCTTTCCCTAAAGAGATGTTTCTTGCTCTCTGAAAGGATGAATGGCTTCTGGCTCCACTGCAGGTCCTGGTAACACTAGTCAGACTAGATTTTGCCAAGTTTTAGCCTTTTGTCCTTTGAGGGAGATCAATCCAGCAGACTTCTAGATCAGTCCCCAGTTCAGGCAGCAGCCCCCTACCACTGCCCTTCTCCAGCCTCCCAGTAATCCATGTTTTATTTTCTAGCAATACTACTCGTTTATTATTCTGTGAGGTACATTTGCACCAGTTTACCTTTTTTTGACATTCCAGAATATATCCTTGTCTCATTAATTCTGTACCAGGTCACAGAAATCCATACCGAGATCTGCTCTTCAAGTACATATATTCTCTTTGTAGGTGGAAGGATCACCTATATAAGTGCTATGGTTACTATTTCCTGAGTGGGGTACAATTGGTATGGCATGCTGTGTTCAGAGAGAAAAAATGCTACGTGAGGCACTGTATAAAGCAGGTTCAAGTTCACAGACATCTGCACTCCCCCTCCACCCCCGCCCCTTAATGGAATCATCAGATAAAGAAACTAAGACAGCTTTTCAAGATTAGTGATGGCAAAGCAAAGTAAGAAGCTGGTGTTTTGCACTGGCACAGTCCACTTGGTCATTGAATTGGTTTAACATACCTGGAGGGTGAGTTAGCTTTATTTTTCTTTCTCTGCACAGGGAAACTGATAGATTAGGCTGTCTGAAGAATTTTCCTGCAGCCTAATGTCTCAGATCCAGAGATTTACAGACTTAAGACATTGTCTACAGAAGCCATAGTTACCCCTCAAAAAAGGGAAGGCAAAGGTGTGCTAACTTGGAAAAAGAACTGAATTTTAAAACAAGACAAATGCAACTCTTCAACTCTCCCATGAAAAAAATCGAGGCTACCTTCTCATTCCAGCCTCCAGCATGCCTGCAATGTTCCCATGTAACAACAAAGTGCTCTTGCCCACTGCCATCCAGAATGTTTTCTAGATCACAGTTCTGCTGTCATTCACAGGCAAGCAACGTATCTATAGGTAGATCAAACCAGAGCAAGTCCATACGTGTGCACGAGGTACTATCAGGTCAGTGTCTAGTTCTAGTATTACTACTAGAAATAAATATACAGTATCACTTAATCAGGTGGCAGACTTGCATAGACAAGAAAAAAATGTATAAATTATGAAGCAGCCAAAAGTGAAGTTCAGGAGGAATTTGGGTTACATTGTTTTGTTTTATAAAAACATTGTAGAAATGTGATTCCATTCTCTTTTAGTGTAGGTGCTGTGCCCTGTACGAGACATTTGGGGATAAAAAGATGAAAGGGACATGATCTGTGCCCTCCCAGAGCTCAGGATCCATGGACAGGCCGAAGCTGGAGCAGCACAGTGCCAGTTTCAGGTTCAGTGTCCTGGTGTGTGGACCTCAGACTTTATTAGATGAAAGGTTCATGTATATAACAGTGACATTGCCATGTCATGTGAAACCCTGTGCCTTTGCCAGGAAACAACTTCAAATCACCTAAGGAGCTCTAACATTAAACAATGCTTTTAGAAAGAGGAACTGGTTTAAAAAAAAAAAAAAAAAGCCTCCCACCTCTACTTGGAGGCTATGAGATACTCCCGCAAAAGAGAAATTAGCCTGTGATAGAAGTTTACACATTTTTTAATACCCTAAGTTTTTAGTAGATAATGAAACTGATTTAAATCTAACTTGGCTAGAACAGGATTTGTGTGTCATGAATTATATTGTCTATTGTCTCACAAAAAAAACATATCTTGGCTGACAAAAGCAGCTACCATTCAGGAACCAAGTTAAGAATAACTCAGGTGCCTGATGCCAAAAACAAGTCTCTATTAAGAGCTGAGAATCCAGAAAGAAACACAAAGGTATACTGAGTAAATGACAAAAGTGGCGTTTCAAGTCAGTAGGGAAAAGAAGGAATTAGTCAACTAGTACTGAGACAGCAAAGCCATTTGGGAAGAAAGCAGAAGGTTTAGATCTCTCACAAAAACGGATTCCACCAGGACTAGCAGGAAGCCTTCTGCTCTTTCGGTCACATATCCTTTGTAGAAATTGAACCATGGAAAAGCAAATAATTACAGGAAGAGAGAGTTGACCGCAGCAAAATAAGGAAAATGCAGGTGAAAATACAAGAAACCATCTCAGATCCAATGGGGCAAATATTAAAAAGAATATAAATCTGTAAATCAAGAGCTGGCAGGGTGTGGAAAGCAGGAATCCCACCTTGCTGGTGGGTGACAGGTTGTTGGCCCAGTTATGTTTCAAAGCAATTGGGTGGCATGATTAAACCTTAAGATTCATATGCCCTGTGACCC